ATAACTTTCTTTATTCAGCTGGTTGCCTCTCTCTCTCTCCACCCACTCTCCCCTGAGCGGTGTGGTTTTTGGCTTCCTCATTCACTCTGAAGCAACGCTCGTTGTACTTAAGCTAAAGATCCCCTTAGCATCCAAAAATTGCAAGGATGTTCTAACTTGAGAATGGGGAGACCTAGGTTCAATTTCCTGCTCTGTCAACAGATGCCCTCTCTGATCTTGGCCAAGTCACTTAGTCTTGGTTCCCACCTACCTGTACAACAGAAATAAAAGCACTTCCCTACCACTCAGGGGTGTTGGGAGGATAAATACCTTAAAGATGGTATATCTGGCACTCAGATGTTATGGATATAAGCACCTAAAATAGATAGCTAATCTAGATTTAATTGCTGGAAATGTATTTTCAAAATACATTCAAGGCTATATGACAACTATGACTGCCATTTAAGAGCGCCAGCTGCTACCAGCAGTTATATAACAGTGGAATGCGAGACATCACAGATATTTCCCTGCACTTGAATACACCAGTGTATAATAACTAGTGATTTATCATGACTTTTTAATGGTGCCCCAAGGCATAGCACTAATAAGTATAGTTACAAAGATCCTTGTAACAAGGGAAATGTGAAAGTAGCCTTTTCATTATTATTTACTCATTAACTTTCACTATAGTTATTTCATCAACCAACAGCATGGTGATCTCCACTGGACTGAAGTACTATATTATATCCTTTTCTCATGATTAGCCCAAAGGAGCTTAACAGTCAATGACAGCACTTATGCTAATCCCAAAACAATAGTATTAATGTAAACTTCCCACCCTCAGAAATGCCAGTAATCTGCCATGAATAGAAGAGGAGACACTCTGACAGGTTTTCTTAACCAGTTCCCGGTATAGCAGTTATAACTTTATGCTGCTGTTTGTTATAGTGTAATTTTAAAAAAAGAATGCACAATTTAACAATAAAGGCACATGTGTAGAGAACATACCTAATATAAAAAAATAGATTATTCTTATGAAATATATTCACCCAACAAAGTGTACAGGAGTCTTAAACCTATTAACATATATATCTTCTCAGTGCTTTTTTTTCTGTAAAATAAAAAGGTGCCGGTACTCCAGGGGGAAAGTTATTGAGCTCTGACTGGAGGTGCTGGTACTGCGTCTAGAGGTGCCAGTACTGTGTGCAAGGTAGTACCGTCACAAAAAAAGTACTGTATCTTCTTCTAATAATTATTATGATACAATGAACTGATTTTTTGACAGGTAGAATATATGTAGGTCAAAAGAACTCCAGTTTATTAATTTGTTTTATATTTAGTGGCATTGCTCTAATCAGTAGAGGTCTTGAATATGGTGAATGAATAACCCATCATACAACTGTGCTTATTCTAAGTTTAACCGTAAGATTATCTGCCATAATATTGAATCAAGCATTCATGGAGCAAGACAGATACAAACCTCACGAGCAAATGATCCCACACTATTTTATAATTTCCTCTGTTGTCATATCTATCTATCTATGTTAGAGCGTGTCTGTGAATCTGTCTGCAAATCCGTTTGTTCAAGAACTCCTCCTACACGGTAAGAGCTAGGGACATCAAATTTGGCATACAACTTCCTCTTCTCCTAACTTAAAGCAAGGCCAGGGTTTGTTTGTGCCAGAAAAAACTGGGAATTCCGGGAAAAGGACAATTTTCCATAGCATGCGAAGGAAGGAGCTGCTATTCCGAGTGACATGATATGAGAGTGGCCACTGAGGGCAACCCTACCACCAAGAGAGTGGCCAGCAGGGCTGGGACTCTGCCATCTTGCCTGCCAGCACACCAATAAGTACTCCCCCTACTCTGTGCCTAAGAGAGAGGAGAGAGAGCAGGTCTCAGATAGGCTGGAGGTGTGGCCAGAGGGAGGGAGGAAAGAACAGGCCTCAAGCGGGTAGGGGATGGCTGGGAGGGGGAAGAACAGGCCCCAGGCTGGCTGGGGAGAGTGGGCTGGGTTGGAGAGAAAAGGCCCTGAGCGTTAACTCAAACACCAGAAGATCTATCTCCAGTGTGTAAGTACAGTTGTAGCCAAAAAACAGAGGGTAGTCCTAGTTATTCAAGCAACGGGAGCTGTCGTAAGTATTTGCTTGTGGTCTCAGATAGATGTATCTTATAGCAAGAGAGCTTCTCCCACCATTCACTCTGCTGTCGCTCTACACTATTTTCAGTCCTCTAGCTGGATGTAGAACTGGGAATAAGACTCCTGCTTGGAGGTGTAGATGTACTGATAGAGAAGTACATCTAGAAAAAGTGCAGTTTCACAATATTTCAAGTAACATTCTACTCCTGAAATCCATCTCTTAGTACAGAATTGCTGTTGATGAAATATTCTGAAACCAGTTTCCCTCTCATACCAGTTTTGTATCAAAACAATTTCTTCAAGTTAACAGAATCTAATATATAAAGGAGAATGTTTGTAAGTTCGTGTGCTAATAACTTAGGGTATGTCTACACTACAGCGCTAATTCGAACTAAGCTAATTCGAACTAACGCATCCAGACTAAAAAACTAGTTCGAATTAGCGTTTTGCTAATTTGAACTACCATGTCCACATTAAGTGGACCCTGAACCAGGGTTAAGGATGGCCGGAAGCAGTGCCGGCAGGGCATCAGAGGAGGACTTAAGAGCGTGGAGATGCTGTCTCAGGCTAGCCGAGGGCTGTGCTTAAAGGGTCCCGACCCCCACCCCGGACAGACAGTTCTCAGGGGTGTCCCGCTTGCAAAGCAGTCCTGGCTTGGATTGCCCGGAGTACCCACACTGGGCACGTCACAGCACTCAGCCATCAGACCAGCTGCACTTGCCGCAGGCTGCCATCTGGGGAGAGGGGGCAATTGGGGGGCTGCAGGAGAGCTTCCCCCCCCAGAAGCCCGCAGAGCCAGCCCAGTCCTCCCCATCGGGGGCTCGTACCCCATTCCTCCCTCACCTCCTTCCACTTACCCTTCCCTAGCCCCTCTTCTTGATGTACAAAATAAAGGACAATTGTGTTCAAAATGGAATCTGTCTTTATTGAACAAAACTGGGGGAGACTGGGAAAAGGAGGTGGGAGAGGGGAAGAGAGAGGGTGGGAGAGGGGAGGGCAACTAAAATGATCAGGGGTTGGGAACAGGTCCCGTATGAAGAGAGGCTAAAGAGACTGGGATTTCTCAGCTTAGAAAAGAGGAGACGGAGGGGGGACAGGATAGAGGTCTCTAAAAGCAGGAGTTGGGTGGAGAGGGTGCATACAGAAAAGTTCTTCATTAGTTCCCATAAAGAAGGACTACAGGACACCAAAGGAAAGGAATGGGTAGCAGGCTTCAAACTAGTAACAGAAAGTTGTTCTTCACAAAGCAAAGAGTCAACTTGTGGAACTCCTTGCTGCAGGAGGCGGTGAAGGCTACAACTAGAACAGAGTTTAAAGGGAAGTGAGATCAAGTCATGGAGGTTGGGTCCATGGAGTGCTATTAGCCAGGGGGTAGGAGTGGTGTCCCTGCCCAAGGTTTGTGGAAGGCTGGAGAGGGATGGCACGAGACAAATGGCTTGGTCACTGTCTTTGGTCCATCCCCTCCAGGGTCCCTAGGGTTGGCCGCTGTCGGCAGACAGGCTACTGGACTAGATGGACCTTTGGTCTGGCCCAGGACGGCCATTGTAAGCTCAGGGCTCAGGGTCGGGGGTCTCAGTGGACCCCCTTGATTCTCTTGCACACCTGCTCCTGGGTGGCCATGCTGGCAGCTCTCCTGCCCTAGCCGGCCACTTTCCTGTGCCTAGTGCGGAGGTCGTGGACGAGGTCCACGATGTCCGCACTAGCCCAGGCGGGTGCCCGCCTTTTGCGGTCCCGGGCAAGCTCCTGGGAGCCGCCAGCCTGGTCCCGGGAAGAGGGGGAGGGCTGGGGGCATCGGGTGGGTGGCTCAATCCGTGCCAGGTGCAGGGTCTGCTGGCTGGGTGCTGGAAGGCTTACACCTGGCACGGGCACCGTAGCCAGCCCGTGCCCCTTTAAGGGGTCCGGGGCTGGGAGGGGGGCAGACGAGTTTCCCTGGTGTTGGCCAGAGTGGCCACCAGGGAAACCTGGGGAGGGCTAGCCTCCCACTAATTCGAATTAAGGGGCTACACACCCCTTAATTCGAACTAGCTAGTTCAAACTAGGCTTAATCCTCATAAAATGAGGTTTTCCTAGTTCGAACTAAGTGCTCCGCTTGTTCGATTTAAATTCGAACTAGCGGAGCGCTACTGTAGCGCCTATTAAAGTTAGTTCGAACTAATGTCTGTTAGTTCGAATTAACTTTGTAGTGTAGACATACCCTTAGACACTATAAGAGCTACCACAACCAAAGTTTTCATGGGATAACCTTTCATCCAGGAGAAGATTTTAAGGTACTTTTGGACCCGATCGGGACCAAGCTCAAGCTGTAAAAACCAAAAAATAACCTGCCATGCTGCACTGCAGGGGCCACCCCACCCACCCTAGGTCCCATGCCCGTCGCCTGCAGCCCCCAGCACCATCTGGGACTCACCACCTCCCACCCGTGAGGTTACATAAGCAATCCTCTCCGCTCCTCCCCCCCCACACGCCGGCATCTGCCCTGCCCCCTGCAGCACCTTCAGCTCTGGGCGCGAGCTGGGGCGCCCATCCCGCATGTAAGCTCCCCTCCACCTGAGGTCACGCCCCGCTCCCCTCCGGTGATGACGCGGATCTATATTTTAATCTCTATAGAAATCAGTGCAACTTTTCTACCATTCATAAAAAGATAATGGACTACTGTTTTTCTGCATTTTGTTACTCTGGTTTCCCAAGCAATGCCGGGTAACTCCAGCTAGTTACTTCTAATTTACAGCATGGAAACTAACAAGAGAACCAGATCACTTATCATTTTGTTCTGAGAAAATTAAGTTACCTTTAATTGTCACAGGATTATTTTGATAAATAAGGGGGAATCGCTTACTGTATTTCTGGGACACAATGCAATTGATTAAAAACTTGCAATTACCTGGATAATACCTGGCTAGTCCAGTTGCACTGCCAAAAACCTGCCATAACAGAGTTGGATCTTCTTCTCTGTTCCTTTTGAATACATCATCCAGTGCTCCAGTCCAGTTGAGTTCATTTAACACTATTGTAGCTGTAAAAGAGGAAACATATTTGGTATCACAAAATTAGGTATTTAAAAATTAGCATCGTTTCTTAAAAATAAGTGAAGGATTTACCATGACAAATAAGAGTGCCGAGGTTGAGTAATCTATTAGAACAACTACTCCAGAAAAATGTAATTTAAGTAATCACAGAGTGCATTTGGGGAAATACAGTCCTCATGGAAAGTTTTAACATTCTTTAATATTCTTGTACTGCTTTTTTCCTCCAGTGCATCATCTATATGCAAAGATTATTCTTATTCTCTTGGGCTATGTCTACACTACAAGGTTGTTTTGAAATAAGTTATTTCAAAATAATAACTCCTGAAATAACTATTTTGAAATAACGTGTCCATACTACAAATCCTCACAGAAATAGTAAAATATCGAAATAGCGTGTCCACACTCATCGGAGCCTGAATCACATTTAAGGCCCCTGGAAGCACTTCAGGCAGGGCATCAGACCAGCAGTCACTTCCTGGAGCTGCTGCCTGAGGCTATCTGAAGCTTGTGCTTAAAGGGGCACCCTTCTACAGCCATGTCTCAGACTCTTCACCTTTGCCTACTTGCTTGAGGGAGAGCAAACACCACACTGCGTGCTCTAGTTGCCCTTGTGGATGCCACAGCACTACTACCATGGACCCAGATGTGCTACAAAGCAGTGTCAGGCTCTTAGACCTCCTGCTGCACCTTCTGGTGCAGTTAAAGCAGGCCACACTTGTGGCACTGCATGACCAAGATGGCCAGTTCAGTCTGGGGCACCTTCTCACACAGTCCTGGGCACTCCTCCTACCCCACAGTCCCTTCCATTCTCCCCAGCACACGTGCACTGCTGCTTCTGGTGCCGGGACACCAGTTCCAACCGGTGCTAAAAGATTGTCTTAGAGTGGTGGGATGACCAGCAGTGGATCCAGAACTTCTACATACAGAAGGACACCTTCCTGGAGCTCTGTGAATAGCTCGCCCCTGCCCTTTGGCAATGGGACCCCACCATTCCCCTCCAGCAGTGATTCACTATCACCCTCTGGAAGCTCGCTACACCAGACAAGTACCACTCTGTTGGGAACCAATTTGGCATGGGGAGATAGACCATCAGCCTGTGCATATGCAGAGTTGACTCTCTTGCTATTGTCACAAGAGGGTGAAAAAGCACTGTAAT